GGGAATGCTACACGGCTGTGTGAGTCTCGCGTCGACTTGTATTTAACAATTGGAGCACGTCGTGCGTCAAGGAGGAGTGCAATGCTATGTGGCTCTCATAACTGATATCTCCTACCAACTGATATCGCCTCCCGTTGGTATCTGGTCCCGATTGACATCAGCTCCCAGTTGATATAAGGTGTGAGGAGCACGATAGAGTTGTAGAGGGCAAGGGGGAAGAGAATCAATAGCATCTGCACAGTGCGAGTCTGTTATGTTCTTGATGGATGGTAAATCTAGAAGGCAAGCTGGCACGATTGCGGATATATGCCATGCCATGCCAGCTTTCAATCACAGCGGAAATGGTTTTATCCAACGGCCGATCATCAGGCTGGCATGCCTTATCTATCTTTTGGCCAATGAATAGCAGCGGTACCTGTTGTCGTTTATGTGCGGTGGGGACATGACGGCTGAAAACAGTGGACATGTGCTGGCGTTTTTGAAAGGCGAGTTTATCGTTTCAAGGTGCTTTCACTGGCATTTCTTCGGAGGAAGGAAAGAGAAGAATATGAAATAGGGGTACAGAGGGGGCTGACCAACAGGGAGGACATTATATTCGAGCAGGGATCTGACAGGTTGAGGAGAGGGGGCAGAGAGTCGGCTTGAGAAGATGGTGTGTTGGATTACGGGAGAGATTGTCGTCTTTGACTTTTGTGCGGTGTTATTGATCCATTCTGTAAGTTTGCACAGGTATTAATTTGATCAACAGGTTGGTCGATTGATGAATGAACGAATGAAGCCGTTTGATTGATTGACGAATGAACGAATCAAGCCGTTTGATCGATTGATGAATGAACGAATGGAGCAATCAATCAATTGATCAGCTAATCAATTAGCCAGTGATGCCTGGATTTGCTTGTGCCTCATTAGAGTCCTGCCGACTATGGACATGCACGGGATCGAGGTGGTGTTCCAAGCAGCAGTGCAAGCGGAGATTAGCTTGTGTGCTAGAAGAGCAGCAAGCTTTTGAGAGGACTGAGCGGGCCCGGCGGAGTACAGGTGAGGTCTCTGGGAACGCGGGGGATCCTTTCTCGTTGCCTTAGTCATGTGCACTAGGGGAAGGAGGTTTTGCAATCTGGGTGCATCACAACGATCAGAAGACTTGGTCACACACACACCTGTCTCTTATACACATCTAGATGTGTATAAGAGACAGGGATTACCGCCTGCACTGACGGCGTCCTGTATACTCTGCCCCGTTTTCTCTCTTACCCTTCTCATTTACTCCCAATCGGTGACTAACGGCCTTAACGAAACTAACACCGCCGACATGGCTCTCGTATTCATTACCCCATCGTCGGTGTCTTATCCTTAGCCTCTCCTTAACGGAAGGACCCTTTCTGTCAGCGCCTGTTTTCGCGGCTGCTGTGGCAAGAGTGTGTGTGTGTGTGTGTGTGTGTGTGTGTGTGTGTGTGTGTGTGTGTGTGTGTGAGAGAGAGAGAGAGAGAGAGAGAGAGAGAGAGAGAAGAAATTCAGTGTGATAGTAAAAGTAAAACAAGGAAGAAAAGAAGAAATTCACTATGGAGTCTTTCGACTTCGTAAGAAGAGTTCCAAGTCTTGAGTAGCTGGGTGAAGGCGACGGAGCGCGTAGCGTTCTTTTTTTTGTTTTTATTTTTATTTTTATTTTTGTTGTTGGGGTAAGACCACTCTCCAACGTGCTGCTAGGAGAGCGAGCAAATCAGAGTGCTTGGGGCATTCCATTTTTTTCTGCAGGCAGATTCGCACTGGGGAGTTTTCGCTTGAATCTCCCGTGATTGCGGTCAGATGCATTCAGGGAGCTCGGTAGTGTCAGTATTTTATTATGCCTCCTGATGATTACCATTATTTCGTTGCCGCTCTTTGCGTGACCGCTACTTCCTGATTCTTCTAGAAGGTGTATGTGTCTGTGTGTAGTTTGTACACAGTACTACACACGATACGGTTGCTGTGTGTGCGTGTGTGTGTGTCGGTGTGTGTGTGTGTGTGTGTGTGTACACAGTACTACACACGGTACTGTTGGAGTGTGTGTGTGTAGTTTCTACATAGCACTACACACGGTATTGTGTGTGTGTGTGTGTGTGTGTGTGTGTGTGTGTGTGTGTGTGTGTGTGTGTGTGTGTGTG